CATATTTGGGCCAAATGCGAATGAACTTTCTGGGTGGTTCAGCATCTGGGGTTAGGGTGTGTTTAGGGTCTTACAAATTTGGGATCGTTCGAATTTAGGGGGTTGGAAATTTGGGATTTGAGAAATTTGGGGTTATTGGAATTTGGAAGCTTGGAAATTTGGGATTTGACAAATTTGGAGTTATTGGAATTTGGGAGCTTGGAAATTTGGAGCCTGAGAAATTTGGGAGCATTCGAATTTGGGAGCTTGGAAATTTGGAGCCCGAGAAATTTGGGAGCATTCGAATTTGGGAGCTTGGAAATTTGAAAGCTGAGAAATTTGGGAGCATTCGAATTTGGGAGCTTGGAAATTTGGAACCTGAGAAATTTGGGAGCATTCGAATTTGGAAGCTTGGAAATTTGAAAGCTGAGAAATTTGGGAGCATTCGAATTTGGGAGCTTGGAAATTTGGAACCTGAGAAATTTGGGATTACTCGAATTTGGAAGCTTGGAAATTTGGAACCTGAGAAATTTGGGAGCATTCGAATTTGGGAGCTTGGAAATTTGAAAGCTGAGAAATTTGGGAGCATTCTAATTTGGGAGCTTGGAAATTTGGAACCTGAGAAATTTGGGAGCATTCGAATTTGGAAGCTTGGAAATTTGGAACCTGAGAAATTTGGGACCATTCAAATTTGGGAGCTTGGAAATTTAGAACCTGAGAAATTTGGTACCATTCGAATTTAGAAGCTTGGAAATTAGGAACCTGAGAAATTCGGCACCATTCGAATTTGGAAGCTTGGAAATTTGGAAGCTGAGAAATTAGTGATCATTCGAGTTCCAAAACCTTGAAAACCTTCAACCTTCCCTAAACGCATCACACACCCGTTCTGCCTCCAAAAGTCTCCCACGTTCCACTTCCTAAATTACCCCATGTAATCCATCCCTAATTTCCATCAAAATATCTCCCACCAAATCAAAGTCTAACAAAACTCCGATAACACAAAGGTTACATGTGTATAACGTCCGCACAAAGGTCCGTATAAAGGCAGCATGACACGTGGCTAGTGTAAATGGAACAAGGGGTCACAGTTCACGTGTAAACGTATGAACGTGTATAACATAACAGCCCGCAGGCTGACTGGTCGCGTTCGAATAACACATTTCGCTTGGAAACTTCACCAGGACGAGAGGGGATGAAGGGGTTGTTCGTTTTTGAAAAATAACCAAACGACGGGAATAATGGGTTCCGATGTTGTTCCATCGTTGTCCAACGAATTAATTCCGATCGATCCTTTCTATTTGACTCTTATTATTCTGGCTATTGAATGGACGAATTGAAAGATCGATAAGATTCATAACGACTGTGACATTATGGCGGAGCGTGTTCGCCGTAATTAGAAAACACAGTTGCAGCTTTTATCGTTCCCAGCACGATTTATGCTAATGGAGCTGTTCCATCGAGCCGCGTTTAGTGTTTCTGTTTTCGTATCAATTCGGTGGTAATTAATGGGCTGGGTTGATTTTTGGGGAGTTCGGGCGCTCGAGGGTGTAAAAGGGACAAGTTTGAAAAGGAGGTAAATTTGAAAAAGGGGTTTGAAAGTGGAGGAGGTAAATTTAGCTTGGTAAATTTGTATAATACAACGATTATCGATCGGTTTCAGTAAAGGGTATGGAGGGTGAATGCGTAGCAATTCGACACGTGAATATGGGACACATGGTAGTCCAACGTGTGATATTCTGACGCGTAAGAGTGGGATGCGTAGTGGTTCGAGGATGCGTGGTAGTAGGATGCGTAGGAATTTAATGCGTGAGAGTGGGATGCGTGGTAGATCGACGCGTAGGAGAGGAATGCGTGGTAGATCGACGCGTGGGAGTACGACGCGTGGTAGATCGACGCGTGGGAGTGGTATGCGCAGTAGATCGACGCATGGGAGTGGGACGCGTGGTAGATCGATGCATGGGAGTGGCATGCGCACTAGATCGACGCGTGGGAGTGGGAGGCGTGGTAGATCGACGCGTGGGAGTGGAATGCGCGGTAGATCGACGCGTGGGAGTGGCATGCGCAGTAGATCGACGCATGGGAGTGGGACGCGTGGTAGATCGATGCATGGGAGTGGCATGCGCACTAGATCGACGCCGGTAGATCGACGCGTGGGAGTGGGATGCGTGGTAGATCGACGCGTGGGAGTGGCATGCGCAGTAGATCGACGCATGGGAGTGGGACGCGTGGTAGATCGATGCATGGGAGTGGCATGCGCACTAGATCGACGCGTGGGAGTGGGAGGCGCGGTAGATCGACGCGTGGGAGTGGGATGCGTGGTAGATCGACGCGTGGGAGTGGCATGCGCAGTAGATCGACGCGTGGGAGTGGAATGCGTGGTAGAACGTCGCGTAGGAGTGGTATGCACTGTAGGTCGACGTGTGGGAGTGGTATGCGCAGTAGATCGATGCGTGGTAAATTTATACATTGATTATCCATTGGTTTTAGTAGAGACTGCAAATTTCTGAAATTTTAATTAACCCTTGAGGATGAAGAGGGTGAAAACACCGCAAGAAACTTTACTATCTATTTATTCATTTTACTGTAATTATAAATTTATTTTAATAGTAAATTTTTTAAATTTCAACCCTCGGATCAAACAGGGTTTTCAACATAGTTCTGAATTACACTAAAATTTCAAAAATATCCAACGCAACCATAAAAGCCGATACGTTTACTTTAAAACTACCCCCATTGGGACACGATACAAAATAATTTACAGCAAACAAGAAAAGACATCTGTTATTATTTCATTACAATTACTCCCTTCCATCAAAAGAAAAGCTGTTAGATTTATTACGTGATTCGATCCGCTTCTACAACAAGTATTTTTTCCAAATTAAGAAACCACAAATCTTGAAAGAAACCCTCGCAACACCTCATTAAACTTCTCCCAACAGAAACGAGGAAAGAAAAGCGATATATCATTGCGAGAAGAAACTCAGCTCGAAAAGAAACCTTGGACACGGATCGACGACAATGGAGTCCCCATTCGAGTTTCTTTTCACCGGTGCTCGCCGAAAAATACGACAAAGTCGACGGGAAAATATTTACAGATCTCTGTGAAACGTTCTCCTTGCATGTTTTTTTTTCCGCCCCTCTGTGGTTTTCCGTAATTTCAATCGTTACTGGACGCGTTTATTTCGCTGTTACATTTTAATGAAAGGGTTCTATCGATCGAGGCTGATTTCTTCTCTGACAAGAACCACCCTCCGGAAACGATTGCTCACCGATTCCTCAGCGAAAATCCATGCGTGCGGTCATTAAGGGTAAAATACGGCTAATAAAAATCGTTGCAAACTTTGGGATGCAGTTCTGTTCCAAACTTTCGAATGGGAAAAGTGCGCTGATACTGCATCGGGATGAAAAAAAATATAAATAAAAGAGAGGAACAATGGGAACGTACGAAATATTTCCGATGTTTGATCGTTGGCTGTAATTTTATGGGATGGAGGCAGGAATGGGCGGATTACGGAGACTGGGTCGCGGACAGAGGGTGCTTTGGACAGAAGGTAGGTTTAGGGAAAGAGAATTTTGTTTTTTGGTGATGGGATTTCGTGTTTGGTTGCTTTGGGATTTTGGGATTTTGGAATTTGGGAATTTGAAGACTCTGAAATTCTAAAACTCCAAATCTCTAAAACCCAAAATCTCAAAAATTCTAAAACTCCAAATTCCCAAATCTTTAAAACTCCAAATCTCTAAAACTCCAAATCCCTAAAACCCAAAATCTCCAAAACTCTAAAACTCCAAATTCCCAAATCTCTAAAACTCCAAATCTCTAGAACTCCAAATCTCTAAAACTTCAAATCCCTAAAACTCCAAATCTCTGAAACTCCAAATCTCTAAAACCCAAAATCTCCAAAATTCTAAAACTCCAAATTCCCAAATCTCTAAAACTCCAAATCCCTAAAACTCCAAATCTATAAAACTCTAAAACTCCAAATTCCCAAATCTCTAAAACTCCAAATCTCTAAAACTCTAAATCTCCAAAACCCCAAAAGTTCCAAACAAAAAAAAGTACCAGATTCGGAAATTTCCAACCTCCCCTCATACAAAACACGCCCCTAAAGAACTCCGCCAATAAATCACCATCACAAACGACCAAAAGCTGTTTTATTTTCCATAATTCATCCCCGAACTTCCACCCTCATCGGACCTAGTACCCCGTCAGTTCTACTCAGTTTTGACGGAAGAATCTTCCCGTTCGGCTTTCATATCGCTTCATCCTCGAGCGGAATAGTATGTCAACTTATGGTCGGACAGTTCGATGTACGCGAAGAAAGGATATACGTTTAAAGATCCCTTCACACCGGCAGCCAGCGCCAAACGAGATACGACACTCGATATATCACAATTTACGATAAAACGACTTGGACGTATTTACACGAGAGTCACGTTACGACGTCGCCTCGTGGTCGTGCTGGGTTTTCGTGTTTTCAAAGCATGTTCCGTGGGAAATTTTCGTGGCCGTGTCGAACAACCCGTTGAAATTTCGGCGTCGTACGAAACAGCGGTGGCTCGATTATCTGAATTAACGCGAACAACGTTGACAAACGGCTATGACGGCCATGGTGCACCGTGTTGTTGCTCGTTAACCGATAACTGATGATATTATGTTGGTTTCGCAGAGAATTCGTTTCCCTAAATGTTCTATTATTCTTCGTTTCGATATCATTTAGGGAGAACCCGAAGATTTATACGGGTAAGTGTCATCGTGTTTTGATTGCCTCTCTGTATCGGAATTTCAGTTGTTTATGCGGATACATTTTTATCGGTAAAATTGTTTATGTGGACGAGTTTTTTATCGGAAAAATTTCGATTGTTTATGTGCACGTTTCTATTGGAAAAATTTCAATTAATGTGGATGTATTTGTAGAGAAATTTTTTTCTCTGGAAGGAGGGCTTGCAATGATTAAAATATTTGGCTTCAGAATATTTTTTTGGTTATTCATACATATTCTGATTAATTGGTGACCTTGACCTTAATTTTGACCTTCAACTTCACCTTCAACTCGACCTTTCACTTCACCTTCCACTTGACCTTTAACTTGATCTTTCACTTTACTTTGAACTTGACTTTCAACTTTACTTTGAACTTGACCTTCCACTTGACCTACAACTTGACCTTCCACGTGACTTTCAACTTGATCTTTCACTTTACTTTGAACTTGACCTTCCACTTGACCTACAACTTGACCTTTCACTTTACTTTGAATTTGACTTTCAATTTGACTTTCAACTTGACCTACAACTTGACCTTTCACTTTACTATGAACTTGACCTTCAATCGACCTTCAACTTGACTTTCAACTTGACCTTCCACTTGACCTTCCACTTGACTTTCCACTTGACTTTCCACTTGACTTTCCACTTGACTTTCCACTTGACCTTCAACTTAATCTTTCACTTTACTTTGAGCTTGACCTTCCACTTGACCTACAACTTGACCTTTCACTTCACTTTGAACTTGACTGTCAACTTGACTTTCAACTTGACCTTCAACTTGACCTTCCACTTGTCCTTGACCTCAACCTCAACCTTGACTTGATTTTAATAAATAGTGAACAATATTCTTAAATCAATACACTCAGATCTAATTATTCCTAGATGTAATGCTTTCAGATAACCTCCCAATATCTCTATATCCAAACATGTTCAAATACCAACATCTGCAATATATTTAGATTCACATACTTTCAGTCAAATATCAAATATCTCCACATGTATCTGCTTTAAACTATCGACATACCAATGTCAATATCAATATACCAATGTCAGTATGAATATACCAATATCCCTAGATTATAACATGTTAGGAACACCCTAAAGCTAGTAAGATAGGACATTACCACATCCAGTGAAAATATCCCGATTTTCAACAGCAACCCTCGAGAAGAAGCCGAGGGAAAAATAATTCGCGTGAGGGTAACACAGATTGATCTGTCCCGTGTGGTCCATTAGCCGCGGCTACAACGTACCTCGGATTAGAAGAGAGCGCCGCGATGTCCGACGAGAGAGAAAGCAGGTCGCAGGGATCATCCAGGACCTCGAAGAGGAGGAAGACGATCGTGGACGGGATACCAGGCTGATTCCATCGGGTCAGCTCGACGTACCAAGTCGATCCGAATAAACGAGCTCGAGGGACAAGCAGGATCGCTTGCACCACCTTCGAATCACCACGCCTTCGTGTGTACGTGACGCGATAACTATCTGTCGGTGGCGGTGTCGTGGGAAACGGCCGGCACAAAACGAAAATCGTCCAACCCGCTACCAAGGTCCTTTTCGCTGTTCCTGCAGGGAAGGATTCCTGTCGACACGAGTTTCTGTCATCCTCGACTACGAATATTCGGGATTGTACGGATTGCTGTATGTGCACTCGATGACGCCATTTTTTATTATCTTAAAAATTAATTAATATTGTATCTGATATTTTTATGAAAATTTAGTAACTGAGCTAGTGTAAGTAACTAAACTATATTTAGTTAGCTAAATCTAATTAAGCTAAATCGAATATTTTGGCTGCTTGTTCGGATTACGTATGTGGTTGCACTCGATGACGCCATTTTTTATTATCTTAAAAATTAATGTATATTGCATTTGGTATGTTTAAGAAGATTTAGTAACGAAGCTACAGTAATTACCTAAACTAAAAGTTAGCTAAATTAACTAAACTAGATTTGCTGCCATTTTAGTGCTGGAGCTACCAAGACAAAATGGCCGCCTTTAGGTTACAGAGTTCAGCTTGCAAAGTTACTCTGCATTTCATATTTTCTGAAAAATATGTTATTTCTTAAATTAAAAGCAACTAAATTTAGTTAGCTAAATCTAACTAAACTAGATTTGCTGACATTTTAGTACTGGAGCTACCAAGACAAAATGGCCGCCTTTAGGTTACAGAGTTCAGCTTGCAAAGTTACTCTGCATTTCATATATTCTGAAAAATATGTTATTCCTTAATTTAAAAGCAACTAAATTTAGTTAGCTAAATCTAACTAAACTAGATTTGCTGACATTTTAGTGCTGAAGCTACCAAGACAAAATGGCCGCCTTTAGGTTACAGAGTTCAGCTTGCGAAATTACTCTGCATTTCACATTTTCTAAAAAATGATGTTATTCTTTAACTTCAAAGTATTTGTAACTTCCATATCGTCATTTTCAATATAATAATAAACAGTGAGGTATTTATTATAATTTTCTAAATGTGATAAAAATGAAAGAACAATTTGAGCTCCAGAGAATAAATTTCAGCGAAAATCTTATTTGAAGGAATAGAATTTCTCCGGGCCACTTTTCCAAAATTCATATTGCGTCGTGTGATTTAATTTCACGTTAGGGTATTCCTCTTTCTCGATGGTATCAATTGACTCCTCTTTCTCTTCCAGGTATGAAATCCAATTTTCCAGATCAGAGTGAGCAATCCCAAAGACACGAGCTTCTACTCCGACCGAGTAAGCTTCGAGCTACTTGGTCTCTTTGTGATTTCGTTCTTGGTTCCTCGGCTAACGGAGAACTGATCTAAAATGGCGCGATTCTTTTCGCGCTTCGATAAAAGAAATACCGAGTTCTGGGAATCCATTGCGTTCACAAAAATTGGATCCATATTTCACGCATTTTCCGCATTGCAAATTTATAGTGTTATAAATTTATAAACATTCGCGGGCCGCAGATAACATTTTTTAATACTTTAAATCACCCTTATCCGGCCGCCATTTTACATACGTCTGGGTGATACATGAACTTGCCTATGAATTTATCGCTTATTTTAGCGGATACCGCTTTACGTTGTAAATTATGTCTCATTTTGCCGAGTATTTAAGTACGGGAATTATAGGCGCGGTATTAGAGGAAGAGAATTATAGGTTAGGTTAAATGTCTGGGTTTATAGGTTAGGTATTCAGCGACAATTATTGGTTATGTATTGAAGCTCAAGAATTATAGGCTAAGTAATGAAGATCAAGAATTATAGGTTAAGTTTTAAATAATGAAGGTCAACCATTAGGTCAAAGCTTGAGTATTAAAGTAAAATTTAATATTAAATAGTGTTATAAGAATGTTAAATATAAAATTTAATAAAAAATTTAATAGATGTATACGATTTTTAATATTTATTTAAGTGTTTCTAAAAGGCTACAACATAAATAAATGTCACATGTAATTAAATAAAATATTCGCACAAGTTAAATTAAAAATTCCACAAAAAATTATTCAAAATGTTTTCCGAGTTTGTATTATCTGAACCAGATAATAAATGTATTATCTGGAACTAGACATCTCCAGACGTGTACGTAATCCAGATATCTGGCCATGTCGTAAATCAAGCCGTAGGACGAAACACCGACCGCTGCTTCGATATCTAAATATTTTAAACAATCTCACGGTGAACGCCATTGTTATTCTCCGTTAACAGGCGCATAAACATTTCATCTCTCCGTACAATAAAACCTTGTAATTCGCGTCTAATGACGAAATGCGGGCTCGCAACATTTTATCATTGGAATTACCGTAGCCATCGAGAGCCATTAATTAATTATTAATTTCGGCCGATATTGTTCTTCGGTAGAGGCTGGCAATTTAGTTTCTCGCCGGCGTTGTAATGCGATATCACCGAACGGAGTTTATTAACTGTCCGTTTCGCGTAGCCAACGGTTCGACAACAATGATGGTACGGGTAATACGAAGAACAATATGATAATAACGAACGATGCGTTGTTGTTGTTGTTGTCGCGGTGCCGCGGGGGTATCCATAAAGCACTCGTATATTTTAAACATTCGTTTCGCCGTTTCTATTGTTCGTTTGTTTCGCGATCAAAAGGAAACCGCTTCCATCGTTGCCGCCTTGAACCCGCGCAGCCACGACAGCCCCTATATATTTCACCGCGATAAAGAAACGGTGGAACAAAAGAAAGAAGAAAAAAAAAAGGAAAATAGGAACCGGGTAATGAAGGACGTTTTTAGGAGTCTTTTTAAGCCGAAGGAAATATTTATCACGATGAAATCTCCGGGCTAGCGCGATTTCTCTCCGCGGATACGCCGGTGCTTTTCAAGCCCCGCGTTGGACCACTTCGGCCATGACGATTCTTTCGCCCGCGGAAAATAAATCGAAATCGTGAAATGAAATTTGTCCGAAAAGCGATTTTTCTTCGGGCGAAATGCGTTCGCGGTGCATTCTGGGTAATCGTAATTTTCGTTAGGCGAATTTCAAATATTTTATTCTGCTTTTTTAACGGAGGATAAAGGGATCCAGGGATATCTGGATCAATGTGGGTCATGGTCCATTTGGATACAGAACTATTGGAATCTAGGGATATTTGCATCTAGGTATATTGGGATACAGAACTATTGGAATCTAGGGATATTTGTATCTAGGTATATTGGTATCAAGAAATATTGGAATCCGGAGATATTTAAATACTCGAGTATTTGGATTTCAAATATTTTATTTTGCTTTTTGACTGGAGGATAAAGGTATCTAGGGATATTATGGTTAAGGGATATCTGGACTAATGTGGATGATGGTCTAGGAATATTGGAAGATAGAATTATTAGAATTTAGGGATTTCAAATATTTTATTTAGCTTGTTTAGTGAGGGATAAAGGGATCTAGGGATATTTGGACTATTATGAATCATGGTCTAGGGATATTTATATATAGAAGTGCTAGAATCTAGGGATATTGGGGTGTAGAACAACTAGAATCTAGGGAATAGGAATCTAGGGATTTTTAATATTTTATTTTGCTTCTTTAACGAAATATAAATGGATCTAGGGATATTTGGGTTATGGGATATTTGGACGAATATGTATTATGGTCTAGGGATATAGAATTATTGGAATCTATGGATTTTAAATACTTTATTTTCCTTTTTTAATGAAGGATAAAGGGATCTAGGGATATTTTGACCAACATGGATTATGGTCTAGGGATATTGGGACCTAGAACTTCTAGAACCCAGGGATATTTTGATAAAGAAATATTAGAATCTAGGAATATTTAAATACTGGAGTATTTAGATCTAGGGATATTGAAATTTATGTTGAGATTTAAGAATGTTGGGTTATAAGTATATTTGGTTTTAAGTCTAAAATTACTAGGTCTAAGAATATTTTGGTCTGTCGGTATCTGGGAATATTAGAACCTGCGGACATTTGATATTAAAATATTTGAATCTAGGGATATTAAAATAGAGGAGCATGAGATATCTAGCTATAGAAATAAAAAATCAAAGAAGAAAATACCTAATGTAGAATATTACTAGAATTCTAGTAGTAGTAGTAGGTATTATTATTAGATATTACTAATAATATTACTAGATACTGTTACTAGATACTACTAATATTTAGTAATATTAGTTATTCTCGTAATATTCTAGCATTATTTTAGTAATATTACTAGTAATGTCTAGTAAACATTATGAGTAGATATTACTAGAGTAAGTAATAATACTACATACTGTTACTAGACACTACTAATAATATTACTAATAATATTACTAGAATATTACTAGAATTCTAGCAATATAAAAAATCACTAGAATACAAAGCTCCATGAATCCAATAACGCTACAAAATTCACGAAATTTGTACCAGCCACACGTCCGACCAAAGTATATTAACTAATTCCAAAGAAAAGTGTATTATCGCAAATAAAATTGCTTTATAATTAGCGAAAAAAAATGGGAAATCTCTCTGTGGCGCACAGATAAAAAAAATCAGCACAAAGGAATACGAGTTTAGGAGAATCATATTGAATTCGTGATCGAATGAAAGGAATGTTTCCCGCTTCGGAATTGGCGCGAAAGCATGAAAGAGTAACAAGAAGGAGGATACTCGATGAACGCGCGAAGGCGAATGAAATGAGCAGAGGTCCACGGAGCAGCCAGCGTTGCCTCGAATATCGATTAAACGACGATTAATATTCATCGACGGGGAGAATTGTTCGCGCGCTGGTTGCGTAGGTACCGCGTTGAATTTTAAATCAACGATTATAAATTAAGTCATCCGACTCGACGAGGAACCCGTGTACGCCCGCGCGTTCGATCGATTTCGAATTCGTGTTTCCCGCCGTTATCGAGCTGCCACGCGTCACCAACTTCTTCCGCTTTCAAATTACCCCCAACTTCATTAATTAACATTACCGATTAGTTTTCAATTCTGTCAGTTTTCTTCACTTTAAAATAATTTTGAAGTCTTATTCGTGAGAGGGACGTTATCAGAGCAATAAGGGGAAACTTTGATTATCTGATTATTGGTACCGAATGTTTGATACGATATTGTGGCACATTATCAGATTGGTAGCAGGTGTGCGCGATAATATGCCAGCTATTATATCGTATAACACATCGAATTTTGATATAAAGCTCGTTTGTAATAAGATCTTCCACGTGATCCTGGCTTTGTAACCCTCAGCTATTTAATCTTTGAACCGTAACTCTAGCCTGTACTCCTCGAATCTCCGATACCGGCTACACTCAGTTGCAAACTAAACTCGACTGCAAACTACCGGCAAACTAAACCGGCTCTTCGATCCCATTGCACTCTTAAAACTACGACCGCCCGAAATCGAGCCTCGTATTCGAAACAGCCAATTCCGTTACCCAAAACACACCATCTTGTGAGCATTCAAAATTCAGAAACGCCAAGAAACCGATCCGCTCCCCCTCTACGGGAGGCCGAACAATTTCCAACTGGATCAGAATTACTATTCTGCTATAACTGATCGTAACAGCTTTCAATTAAAACTTCAAGGTACCATTCAATTTCCGGTTCGATTGTTCCCGTTCGCGATTGAAGATTCTTAAACCGCTCGTTCGAACTTCGATTAATTTTGTTTTCGATGTGCTACCATTTTAATTGGACCTGATAATTGTTTGCAATTAATCGCTACCTCTCATTTATGCTGTAATCTTTCTACGTCTCTGCGTTCTTATATTCCTAGTAATCGACATTTGTAGATTTCTGGATCAGTGGATCTCTAAGTCCCTAGATCTTTAGATCGGTAGATCCGAAATCCCTAGACCTTTACATTTCAATATTTCTAGGAACTTAATTAGTAAAGTACAGATACTTTATTTTGCATATACCTAAATCTCCCGATAACTAAATTCCTAGATCCCGAATTCCCTAGATTTCCTAATACTTAGACCAGAAAATCTCTAGATTTTAAAATTTCCTGGGATCGTGAATACTTAGATCAATAGATCAGAAAGTCCCCAGATTCGAAAATCTCCAAATTTCAAAATTCCCTGGGGTCCTAAATATTTGGATAAATAGACAAGAAAATCCCTAGATTGGAAAATTTGTAGATTGCAAAATTCACTAGGAACCTAAATACTTTGATTAATCGATCAGAAAATACCTAGATCCTAAAATCCATAGATTTCAAAATTCCCTAGGGTCCTAAATACTTAGATAAATAGATCAGAAAATCCCTAGATTGGCAAATCTGTAGATTGCAAAATTCCCTACGAACCCAAATACTTAGATCGATAGATCAGAAACCCTGGATCCTAAAATTTTTAGGTTTCAAAATTCCCTAGGATCCTAAATACTTAAATAAATAGATGAGAAAATCCCTAGATTGGCAAATCTGTAGATTTCTAAATTCTCTAGGATCCCATATGCTTAGATCGATAAATCAGAAAATTCCTAGATCCTAAAATTCTTAGATTTCAAAATTCTATAGAATCCTAAATACTTAGATAGACAGATTAGAAAATCCCTAGATTGGAAAATCTGTAGATTACAAAATTGCATAGAATTCTAAATACTTAGATCAATCGATTAGAAAATCTCTAGATTTCGAAATTTCCTAGGATCCTAAATACTCAGATCAATCAATCAGAAAATCCCTAGATCCTCAAATCCCTAAATCCCTAGATCCTCAAATCCCTAAATTCCTAGATCATCAAATCCCTAGGTCCCTAGATCCCTAAATTCCCATTTTCCTCTCACCCTAATTCTCGTGACACCAAATATCCCCACATCCCTAAAACACCAGAATTGGTATTTAAAATTTTTGAATAATTAAAAATTCTATGTTTGAGAAATTCTAGATCAATGAAAACATAATCCTCTATTTCAAGATCGAATATAAATACCCATATCCCCAGATTTGTTAAAATATCCTTAAATCCGCAGATGCCTGAACCGCCTCATTATACATCAAAGCTTACGACATCTCGTTACCGTGATAACTTGCGAAAAGTGGCCAGAAAATTGACGCGAATCGGTCTCCTTATCAGATATCAAGGAAATATTTGTTTCGAATGGGAAAGAATGGAGATAATGGGCGGTGCTGAGGTTTGAAAAGAGTTGAGGTGCATTAACAGGTTCCAGCCGCAAATGGCAGCGCGTCCCCCGACTTAACCCGGTTAGTTGGTCGTCGGAACTCCTCGAAGCTTTCCGGCAAGGGTCTATCCCGGCTTTTTCCTTTCTTTTCGCAGGAATTCCACTCGGCGGAAAGGCGGTTAATGCCGGCTCTCTTCAAAAGGCTGCAGCGTGAGGGAATTTTTCAATTAGCTTCGTTCGTTGCCCGCGGATAACTGGATGACAAAGTGACGCTTTACAATATCGTCGTGAACTTCCTTTCGTTTCGAGAACGAGCTTAACTGAAATCGAAATCTCTCTTCGGCCTTTCAACGATGCAACAATGCGACCGGTATGAGCCGGAAATGCTCAAAGTTTCGATCCAAACGTTTTTCAGATACGATACGTTATTCTCCAGATAATCGATATTATTCACGACATACAACACTAGTGATATTGTTCACCAATTAGTATCTTGTTCTGAATAGCAAACTTTGAGAAACTAAACTTTTTAAGGAGGGTCATTTTGTATTTTTAAATTTGCAGTCATTTTTATAAAATTTTGCAGGACTGTTCATTAGACCTGTCTAATAATATTTATATATAATACATAATTATTAAATATAATTTATTAAGTTTAATATGATCATCAAATTTTTTTACAAAATGTTTGTTGTACACTTTTTGTCAAAATATTTGTCGTCCACAAATTTTGGTTAATTTGCATCTTGTTATAATGCATGAAAACCATAAAACTTCCCCATTCCTTAAGTTCATATATAGCTTCATTAATAATACATAATCATTAAATATAATTTATTAAGTTTAATATGATCATCAAATTTTTTTACAAAATGTTTGTTGTACACTTTTTGTCAAAATGTCTGTCATCCACAAATTTTGGTTAATTTGCATCTTGTTATAATGCATGAAAACCATAAAACTTCCCCATTCCTTAAGTTCATATGTAGCTTCGTTAATAATACATAATTATTAAATATAATTTATTAAGTTTAATATGATCATCAAATTTTTTTACAGAATGTTTGTTGTACACATTTTGTCAAAATGTCTGTCGTCCACAAATTTTGGTTAATTTGCATCTTGCTGTAGTACATGAAAACCATAAAACTTCCCCACACCTTAAGTTCATGTGCAGCTTCGATAATAATACGTAATCATTAAATATAATTTATTAAGTTTAATATGATCATCAAATTTTTTTACAAAATGTTTGTTGTACACTTTTTGTCAAAATGTCTGTCGTCCTCAAATTTTAGTTAATTTGCATTTTGCTGTAGAACATGAAAACCATAAAACTTCCCCATTCCTTAAGTTCATGTGCAGCTTCGTTAATAATACATAATTATTAAATGTAAATTATTAAGTTTAATATGATCATTAAATTTTTTTTACAAAATGTTTGTTGTATACTTTTTGTCAAAATGTCTGTCATCCACAAATTTTGGTTAATTTGCATCTTGTTGTAGTATATGAAAACTATAAAACTTTCCCATTCCTCAAGTTCATGTGTAGCTTCCTCGAGGTAGTCGAAAGGACGTGTCCTTTATTTTTGTTTGCTTGACAAACACACAAAGTTTCATCAAAAGAGGGACACTCGTTAGATAACATTTTTCATGTTTGCTAACATTTTCTCGTTAAATCAAACAAGTGTGCAAAGTTCAAAAAATCATTGGTTCTTATAAAACGCATCCTGCAGAGCTCACACGACCAAACTTCCACAAGTTCGGTCTCAGAAAATTCAAGGACCAATAGTAGAAAAATCTTGAAAACCACTCGGGAAACCTTGAAACCAGCTTCATGCCCAGAACTTGAAGGCAAAAAAAGCTTCGGGTGCAAATCCATGCAAAACTTGAAGAAATTAGCATCGAGGGTTAATTCTAGGGGTGCACGTGCTTCGACAGATCCCGATAGCGTAAAATATAAGGAACGAGACAGAAGAAACACGCGACAAGGTGGAGACGGCGAACGGGCAACGTCCGTAAAGGGCGAGGTAAGGACTCCGCGGAGAGAGGAGAGTATGGGGATCCGTCGAGAGAGTAAGGGCAGGAGCGACGAAGAGGGCACGACGATCCAGAGTGGAGGAGCATGCGCGGGTGGGAGTGGCACCTTATTCGTCGTGCAGCTCCCGCCAAGGCTTTCTGTCAACTACGAACTGTCGACGGAAAAGGTTCCCTGTCAACGACGTGTGCGATCGTCACGGCTCGGTGAAACCCGAAGATGTGACCGTTCGCTTTGTACCGTGTTCCTCGCGAAACGTGATCGCTGACGGACCGACGAGGTTGCAACTTGTTCCGATCGCGGAAATCGGTATGCCTCCCCTGCATGGATTAACGTGATCGATGGTGATCGATGTACCTACGCGGCCAGTTCGACGGTGATATAGTGCGAGACTGTGCGCCGATACCATCGATAAACGAACGGTGATCGACGCTGAGCTGCGGCAATTTACCATATCGTAATCAGTGTCACGTGGACTAAGTGACACGTGACTGCTACTGACTGATTTGATATCTGATTCCTAGGGGGTTCTAGGGAACTGTTGCGGAAATTACGGATTATGTGGCTGAGGTTCCAAGTGCGGAATGCAACAGCTTGCAGGTCAGACGTTTGTGATAACTCAGGTTGTTTCGCAAGAAGCGAGACAAAAAATAATCAGTGAACTTTCGGATCATAAGTCAGAGAGGTCAGCTTCGAGTTTCATCAAAACATTCTGTGATTAGTATGAAGTGAGCAGAACTGAGAGTTACAAGTGATCAAGGTCTCAAGTCTTGAAAATATTTTGTGATGTATTAAAATAGTGAAAGTATTTGCATCTAGCTAAGTGGATCTTCGGATTTAGTGTGACACTCATTAATGTTCGAAGTAAGGATACAAAGTGCGACATCTTGGCCAGAGTGTGAAAAGGTTCATATTTTGTGATTAATTCATAACGGTTTAATTGAAGTGACAGTACCCTCGGGAACTCAATATTTAAGAGGGATCTAGGGAAGGAGAGCAAACACATCCGTGGATTATTGTTCTTGAAGTTCCGGAGGCAGAAAAATGATGTGACTTTGTGACTAATTCATGAGAGTCTAATTAAAGTGACATCAGAAATACCCGTAGAGGTTCTGCATTTAACGAGAAGGAACGGCAAATATTGTTCTTCGTCTTTCGAAATTAAAAACGATAATTGATATTCGATAAGGAAAAGTCTAGTCCGAGTACTTTGTAATTAATACAAAAACGACTTAATTAAAGTTTCATTGTTGAACAACATTTAACAAGGAAGCAAAGAAGTTGCAAACAGGAACTTGTTCTTCAAGTTCTTGCAGGTCTGAACAAAAGCGAAACAAGTACTCGTATTCTTCGAGTTAATACAAGAACGACCTAATTAAAGTTATATCGTTTAATAACATTCGAAAAGAAGAGTGAATTGGAGCTTCATTGAGCTTCAGGTTCTTCCAGAACAAAGGAGGTGTATGTTAATACAGACGTCGCTTCAAAAAGTGTAAGAGGGAGTGTAACATCGCTCGGAGAAAAGTGCAAACATCGAGCGGTGTTTAGGTTCTACTTGATATAAGAGAAAGAGCGAAGCAGATGTTAATATAACAGCCACGTAATTGCAGGGATATTGAAGAAGTGTAACTTCTGTCAGGAAGTGTAAACACGGAGATCGAACAGTTGAGTTTTACTTGATATAAGAGAAAGAGCGAGAGTACATCGATGTTAATATAAGTCACGTTGAAGAGTGACATCGTTCAAAAGGAAGTGTAACGTCAGTAGAAGACGTATGACGTTAGTCAACAAGTGTAAACGGGACGATTGAGGAGTGATTAAGTTCTACTTGATATAAGAGAAAGAGTGAAACAGCTCATTGATGTTAATACAAAGGCTACATAATTGTAGACATATTGAAGAAGTGTAACGTCATCAAAAAGTGTAAACAGGAGTATCGAGCAGTGCTTAAGAGCTGTACTTGATATAAGAGAAAGAGCGAAACTGCACATTCAAGTTAATCTAACAACTACATAACTGAAGTCATATTGAAGGAGAAGTGTAACGTCACCAAAAAGTGTAAATAGAAGTATCGAACAGTGTTTAAGAGTTATACTTGATATAAGAGAACAAGCGAAGCAGCACATCCAACTTAATCTAACAGCTACATAATTGAAGTCACACTGAAGGAGAAGTGTAACGTCACCAAAAAGTGTAAACACGAATATCGAACAGTGTTTAAGTTCTACTTGATATAAGAGAAAAAGCGAAACAGCACATCGACGTTAACATAACAACTACATAATTGAAGATACATCGAAGAAGAAGTGCAACATCATCAAAAAGTGTAAACAAAAAGTCAAGCAGTGTTTGAGTTCTACCTGATATAAGTGAAACACGCTACTTGAAGACATATTAAAAAAGTGTAACATCAATAAGTTTAACAATTCAAGTGAACATCAAAAAAAAGTGCAAGACCTACAGTGTTCAAGTCCAAATAAAAAAAAGTTCACATCAAACAAAAAACTTAAGTCACATTCGCTGAAAGAGATCCGATTAAAAAGGTACATAAATCCGGAGTAACAGAAATGATCTTGTTCTAAAGGTAGAGTCAGAATAATCTTGAAGAAGCAGTAAACAGAAGGATGCGTACGAACGGAATAATTCATGGCGTAGGCCGATAGCCAGGCAGAAGGACACTCATAGCGGATAATTAATCCGGCTACTAATTAGTCGCGGAGCGTCGCGCGACTGGTCTAAAGAGACAAATACGCGCGGGAAGCGTCGCTGATTAAAACTCACCGGTGGATGACCCGGAAGGATACGGATGAAAGGCTGGGCTAATGAGAACAGGGAAACGCCTTGATACCTTGTAAGAAAGTGACAGGACAAGTTACATCCTCCTCCCGTGTCACCTTGACCTGCCATAATCCCTGCCTTTGCTACCCTTAATCTTCCAAACAACGTCCTTGACTTTGCAACGTCCTAATCCTCTAAACGCATTTGGCAAACCTTGCGTTTGCGGCATATGCGAATAGAACCGCAATCCTTGATTTTGCAACTTTGCCACAGTCATATTGCAACCTTGATATTTTCTTAATCTTTGCTACCTTGTGAGAATTCCATAAACGTCCTTCAATTTGCAACCTTGACATTCTGCTGACATTCTTGAGTAACACTGACGTTCGTGTGGGAACATTGCAACATTGTGAGAATTTGCAACATTACAATTCTGTAACCATTTTTTGAAGCCTTGTCACAATCCGAACCTTGTCTTTCAAACCTTACAATTCTATGAACGTGCAACCTTTAAAATCCTATGAACGTCTTTGCAACCTTGTTATAATCCTATGAACGTCCTTGCAACCTTGTCACAATCCCCCGAACCTTGCCTTTCAAACTCCACAATCCGATGAATGTCTTTGCAACCTTGTTATAATTCTATGAACGTCCGTGCAACCTTGTTATAATCCTATGAACGTATTTGCAACCTTGTTGCAGTCCTATGAACGTCCCTGCAATCCTGTCATAATCCTATAAACTACACCTCAATTTGAACCTTTAACTTTGCAACTGTGAACGCTTCTTTGCAACTCTGAACCTTGCACTAATCCCGTAACCAGTGTCTGTGCAATCTTGTGGCTTCGTCCGAATATCCGAACTGTTTTAAATTTTTGTGGAATTTCTGGACTTGATCAAGGATTCTGAGGACTCTGTTAACGGACTCAAGGTGTAAATGATATCGTACAGTGGACTTTCACGGGGTTCGTTCAGGTTGTCAGATGTCGAGAGTACGATGAAGTCGAGTGGCTCGAGTGCCACTTCGATCGGTGATTCGTGGAAATCCAGGTGTGGAAAGTGTTCGAGGAAAATGCGGATCCTTTCGACGATCTTGCTGCTCTGCTCCGTCTTGAGGACAGGTGAGAACTTTTTGACCAATTCGTAGACGCTACAAAGCTACACGTAGTTATACGTACATTTTAGAAAAATTTCATGTACAAAATGGACTTCTTTGATTTTAAGAAGGATTCATTATGTTCTAGTTTGAACATTTTTCAAAAGTTTCATGTACAAAATGGAGAAAACTTCTTTGATTTTGAGTAGGATTCACTATGTTCTAGTTTGAATATTTCTTAAAAATTTCATTTACAAAATGGAGAAAACTTCTTTGACTTTAAGAAGGATTCATTATGTTCTAGTTCGAATATTTTTTAAAAATTTCATATACTAAATGCAGGAAAACTTCATTGATTTTGAGGAGGATTCATTATGTTCTAGTTTGAACATTTTTTAAAAGCATCATACGCGAAATGGAGAAAACTCCTTTGATTTTGAGGATTCATTATGTTCTAGTTTACACATTTTTTAATTAAGAGTAGCAATTTTTCGGAACAAACATTTTTTGTCGGATTTATGCTCGGTTTTTCGGCGCGCGATAGAGGGAAAATGGAAATAGCAGCGACGAAGGGTGTAGAAAATAAAATGTGACTGAAACAAAGTAGAATGTATTGTGAAATGTATTCATGACATTTTAATTATACTTGTTGCTGGATATATTATTACAAAACGCTAATGGGTATCTGTGCTAATTTTGATATATCATTTTTCAGTCGAGCGATACATTTTCAATGTGTGAGTTTATTCAAATAATTTTTAAACAATTACATACTTTTTCAATACCAGTTTCAAACAAGAATTTTTAAATAAAAATTCACTCAATTTAAAAAAAAAATTAACTTAAGAATAAATAGTTATATAAAACGTGAAAAATTGTTTTTGATATTTCAAATAACACAAAAATATCTCAACAAAATAATTCAGTTAGCTGATCATTAAATTGAACGCAACAGACGAACACAGTTTTATGTGCACATTTTTAAAGGAAACAATTAACTTTTAATTTTGTTCGTCACCGAACAAAAGAATGAAATTGAATCTTTATTGTATCCTAAGACTTGTCTCTAGAAAAATTAAACAAGAAAAGAGGCCGAGGGTGGAGGGGTGACAAGGATTTGTCCCAGAGGTACAAATTATCGCTCGACGCTTTAATCTCTGATTCCTTAGCGGGAAAATTTAATTTTCAACCGAGGTAATTGGAACATTTCTTTTTTTTTTTCATGGAATTTCAGCCGGTGTTTACGCATCGGCCGTGAGTCGAGAGCTAAATTGAATCGCGTTTTTCATCCTGCTTCCTTTTGAGCGAGCTTAATTGCCAGCTCGCGGCTGCGACGAATTTCTCGCGTGAACACGCTTTTTTCGAAGCTGACACACCCCTGTCAAGGACAAAACAAGGGGTAGTTGTTAACGAACAAGAACGTTTTTACCTTTGCCTGGAAATCTACTTGTGTATTTGCTTCCGACGTCTTTTACCTTCTCGCTTAAGGATGCTGCATAATGTAGGTTATGGATATAGCTCTACCTATACTGCCGTCGTGCGTGATGGAGTTTCGTACTTTTTTAAGGAAGTTTGATTTGGAAATTTTATTTGGAAATAACGTTGTTTTATATTTTTTAATTTGTTGAGGAAATTTGGGAAATTGAGATGGGAAGATTGAAATTTGGGAATTTAAGGATTTAGAAACTTAGGAATTGGGGAGTTCAGGATTTCGGGAATTTAGGAACTTAGGAATTTAGGAATTTAGGAATTTAGGAATTTAAGAATTCAGGAATTTAGGAATTTAGGAATTTAAGAATTCAGGAATTCAGGAATTCAAGAATTCAAGAATTCAAGAATTTACGAATTTACGAATTTACAAATTTACGAATTTACGAATTTACGAATTTACGAATTTACGAATTTAAGAATTTAGGAATTCAGGAATTTAGGAATTTAAGTGTTTATAAATTTGACAATTGGAGAATTGATGAATCCACGAATCCGTGAAACCTTGAATTTGTAAATTCGTGAATTCGCGAATATGTAAATTCGTTACTTTGTGAATTCGTGAATTTATCAATTAGTGGGTTTGTAGATTCCTGAATTCCTGGCTTTGTAAATTTGTGAATTTATCAATTTGTGAATTCGTGAATTTGTAAATTCGTGATTTTATGAATTTGTAAATACATGAATTCGTAAATTCGTAAATTTGTAACTTTGTTAATTCGTGACTCTGTGAATTCGTGACTTTCTTAATTCGTGAAATCGTGACTTTGTAAATTCGTGAATTCGTGACTTTCTTAATTCGTGAAATCGTGACTTTGTAAAATCGTAAATTCGTGAATTCGTGACTCTGTAAAATCGTAAATTGGTGACTTTTATAATTCCTGAATTCGTGACTCTGTGAATTCGTTACTTTGTTAATTCGTGAAATCGTGACTTTGTAAAATCGTGAATTCGTGACTCTGTAAAAACGTAATATGGTGACTTTGATAATTCCTGAATTCGTGACTCTGTAAATTCGTGACTCTGTGAATTCGTGACTCTGTAAATTCGTGACTTTGTAAATTCGTGACTTCGATAATTCCTGAATTCGTGACTCTGTAAATTCGTGAATTCGTGACTTTGTAAAATCGTAAATTCGTGACTGTAAAATCGTGACTTCTTGTCTTTGTAAATTCATGATTTCGTGAATTCCTGCATCTGTAAATCTATAAATCTGTGAATCTACAAATTTATAAACACCTAAATCCGCAAATTAAAAAGAAATGCGAAAATATAAAAAGTCATGAATATTCGAACAGAGAACGAAAGTGCCGATCGGTACAACATCCATGAAATACTGATCGATTAGTGTTTATGATGCGATGAAAATTGTCGCCGCAAAATGATCAAACGAGCGTTTGTAGACAGCGTTGAATGGCTCTGATACACGTTATCAAAGATTAGCGAGAAATCCATGAAACCGAAATTTATGGCAATTTCGTATCGAAATTGACGCAGTTCCCATCAGCTAGGGGTTAATCATCGCGGTCCTTGCATTCGATTTCATTATTACATCTGCGAGTGTATTTCATCGATTACTTACCTCCGCTCGCAGGTATTTACCTGCTCACTTATTCGATTAAACATATCCCCGTTAATGAGAAAATTATCAATATTTGCGTATTTTCCAATATTTGAACGACCACCGCGTTCGTAATTTTTGTCAAAACTCTTCTATTTGCGTTTCGATGGGTTAATTAAATGACGTCATTATCGTACCTTATTTAAATTAAAAATATTTACAACATTAATGTAATATTTGTTACACCGTTTCGAAACTTGATTGATTGACGACTTTCGATTCGGCAATACCATCATTAATTGATTATGATGGAACAGAAATGTTCGTAATGAACGCATATTGAAATGGCAGATTGTATCGAAAAATGAAATGAAATTTTCCTCGATTTTAATGCAGACATTTTTTTATAATAACGCAATTTCGCGAATAAATTTCATGGACCAATATTAAAATCTGAACAGATCTTCAGGCGTTTTAATTATATAATTTCAACGTATTACCAAAATTAATAATTGCATAATTAACAAAGAGCGTCAATTCAGTGACGTTTCATTCTCAATTTAATAAAAAAAAATCCAATTTTGATTTCCGAAAAGCATGATACCAATCAACATTGACAATATTTAATTATTTCGCGAGTTTATTTGCAAACTTGCATAAAAATCTTCAGAACATGTTATTATAAATATCGAATGAATTTGCATAATTTAAAAGCTGTAAAGTCCAACAGTTTTATCTGCTAATTTAACAGAGAAATTCACCGTATGATTATACTTAGTCGACCGAACAGAAAGTGCATCGTTTCACGCAAACAATTTGCTTTAATTCGAATTTTATCGGATTCGTTTTTATCGCCACGGAGAAACAATTCTTTTTTTCCGGTCGCTTAATCGGTCAAGTTTGGAGAAACACACTGTACTCCCGTTCGCAGGCTCGATTTTCTTTCGTAATTAATCCCGGTAATGAGTTTAATAATGAGTTTTGAAATTTATTCGTCAACTGTACGCCCCGGCCGCCGTGAGCGACGCGTTAAATCCTCTTCTATAAATTGATTTCGCTCGACGATTCGAGCCGCGTTCTCATTCCCTCCGATTTTGCCAATTTATTTTCCTTTTTTATAACGGTTCCCTTTGTTTCCACCGTGATTCGACGCTTCGCGAGACGTTAGTCGATCTTCAATTTGCCACCAATCACGGATAATTGCGAAACTTCGATATTCAAAACCTGTTTGCTCGTGACGGACCTTTCTGAGACGCCATTTTAGATGATATTGTAATCAAAATGGCGGGCGTAATGTAGCTTTACTTTACGAATTTAAGTTCTTATTTTTTTTTAGTCTTTAAAGTGCAGTGTTCACTTTGAGGTTTTGGTAGTTTTTTATATGACTCTTTCGGGACGCCATTTTAGATGCTATTGTAATCAAAATGGCGGATGTAATGTAGCTTTACTTTACGAGTTTAAGTTCTTATTTTTTTTGGTCTTTAAAGTGCAGTATTTTACTTTGAGGTTTTGGTAGTTTTTTATATAACTCTCTCGGGACGCCATTTTAGATGCTATTGTAATCAAAATGGCGGACGTAATGTAGCTTTGCTTTACGAATTTAAGTTCTTATTTTTTTTGGTTTTTAAAGTGCAGTGTTCACTTTGAGGTTTTGGTAGTTTTTTATATGACTCTTTCGGGACGCCATTTTAGATAATATTGCAATCAAAATGGCGGACACAACTTAGCTCTATTCTACAAATTTAAATTGTCTTAGTTTCTTCGTGCTTTAGAGTATCATACTGATGTTCATTTCAAGGTTTAATTTGCTTATTCTCGACAGAACTTTTTCGAGACGCCATTTTAGGTGATATCACAATCAAAATGGCGGACATAACCTAGCACTACTCTACGAACTTAAGTTGTCTTATTTTCTTCGCACTTTACAATACAGTGATGTTCACTTTAAGCTTTAATTTGCTTCTCTTCGAAAGAAC